AACCATGCGAGTAGTCCACCCAATAAATCCCACCCATCCCACCCCAGGGAAGGACATCCATCACACAGTAACCTCGTGTGTAGGAAATTAACGTCTCCTACCCCTAACCCTGTAGGAGACGGGACCTCCATTTATTCATCCCTATCTGAGAAGACTAGAATATCTAACCATTTCTTGATGTTATAGAAAGGTAGCATATTCTTCTCAATTATTTTAAGACCTTGAGTGTTGGTCCGGCCCGGGCTTGAACCCTTGACCTCCCGCACAACAGTCCACCGCTCTATCCATTGAGCTAACCAGGAGGCGGTTTTGATCAACATTGATCAGTTCACATGCTAGAACACAATCAAACTATCTCATTTGCATAAAATGTGGTTATTTGGAAAAAAAAAATAGATTCATAGAGAATATATAATTTGTCATGTTGGAGGAAGCCTGACCTTTTTGAGTGAGATTTTCAGGATACTTCACCAAAGGAAGAGTTTCAGGTTTCCCATTTGCAACATGACCTGCAAGCATTGAATAATGATAATTTATTATGTACAACCTAATAATATTATATATGAGAACAGGGGACAAGGTTTTCAATGAAAATGTACTTACTGTAGTAAAGCAGAAGAAGAGTAATTAGGCAATAAATAGCCCCACACATGAATGAACAGTCATCAGAATTTAATGGGAAAGTTCTGCATAGTAGACAGAAAGAGATTTGATCTCTGATCCCATATGAACATCTAACTGAAAGCTAATTTATCGAACTGTAACTCTCGAAGAAATTGCACATCCATTTTGAATCACTGGTAATCCTTGTAATCTGATTGGCTCTCACTGGTGTGATTTATTTCTTGAGGACAAACTGCACACTAATGAAACAATTGTGATCACCGGATTTCTAATGATCAGGCATAATTCCCTCACCTTCCTTTTCATGTTTCATTAACCCCAGCCTGTACCAAAGGTTGACACTAACGAAGCTGATAAGCTTCAACCAGACAACAGTGTACCAGGAAACAGCAATATTAGCTGCCCCTATAAAATATGAGAAATTATAACATACGTGAGTACTTCAAAACAATCAAGACTTAAATTTAAGTTCATTTCCATGACTTACATGTACGACTGGAACACTTAACAACAACTACAAACTGCTGTAAATTATGATACAAAGAAAGGCAGCCATTGCAGAGAGGTTGTTATATTATATGTTAAAGAGAGGAAGGCTGCAATATTGCTAATCTTAAAAAAAAAAAAAAAGGATTTTTGTGAACTAACGATATACAGCATGCTGTTAAAACTGTGTCTGTGTTCACTATCTGACAAGGATGTTTTCACAATACTTACAAGGTGGTGGTTGATAAACCAAAATCACTGTAAATGGCACAATTAACATTGACAGCAGCAAAAATATATAGATTATCCGCCCAATCCTCTCGGAAATTTTTCCCTATAAAAATTGAATGGAAGAGTACCAAATTAATTATTTCAACAAGAGAACACATTTAAATTTTACAACAAAAAAAAGAAATATACTATATCATAAGTGAAAACACTCTTCGAAAGATTTGACCACATCTCCACCAAAACTGTATTAAACAACAAACAGATGAAATACATATATATGAACTGCGGTTATGAAATGTATATGTGCACGATCCTTTGCAGTAAAGCACTATTTAAGCAATAGTGAAAATCAGACCTGAAAAAAATTCAGGCCTGTACGGGATTCGAACCACTGACCTCTGCAATACTAGTGCAGCGCTCTACCAATTGAGCTAACAAGCCAACTGGGAGCAGGCCATCAAATTAATTCGACATAAACCCGTAGATGATAAATCAAACAACAAACATATGAAATACATATATATGAACTGCGGTTATGAAACGTATATGTGCACGATCCTTCGCAGTAAAGCACTATTTAAGCAATAGTGAAAATCAGACCTGAAAAAAATTCAGGCCTGTACGGGATTCGAACCACTGACCTCTGCNTAAACAACCTTAAGGTTCATATCTTGCAAAAGGCAAAAAATAAAAATTCACATTTGATGGGGTTTTAATCTTCTATTGTAACTGGTCTTGAAAATTAAAAATACTCAAGATATTGCATCATGTAATAACCCCTTTCCCCCTCCCTTCCAGCAGCATACTCCCAGTTAGCTCAATGGATAGAGCGCTGGACTGTTGTGCGGGAGGTCGAGGGTTCGAGCCCCGGCCGGACCAACACTCAAGGTCTTAAAATAATTGAGAAGAATAAATTATGCTACCCTTCTATAACATCAAGAAATGGTTAGATATTCTAGTCTTCTCAGATAGGGATGAATAAATGGAGGTCCCGTCTCCTGCAGGGTTAGGGGTAGGAGACGTTAATTTCCCCCGCACGAGATTACTGTGTGATGGATGTCCTTCCCTGGGGTGGGATGGGTGGGATTTATTGGGTGGACTACTCGCATGGCTAGCATATGTTCTGTTCTAGTCCTACCCTACTGTGGTAATGCAGTGAAAAATGGTTAGAAAAATACTAAATCAATTACATTTAAGATAAATTTTGCAAATAATCTACAAAATTCACTTACAGATAACAAGTAATGCTGATGGCCAATGGTATGGATCCTCTAAAAAAATAGTTATCACTTGAAAAGGATCTATGAGCAAGCCATACCTACCAGGAAAAAACATTACATGAAAAGAACAACATTTCCTTTTCAATATCAGCTAATTAAACAACAAGTTCTGTTTTATGAAGTGGAAGATGTATTGGTCTACTGGTCAGTGCCCTGGACTTCACGTCGAGAGGTCTGGCTGTGATACCTGCCTCTCTCCACCCAGGAGTATTTATAGGCACCAGCAAACTGTCAGATAGGTTCAATTACCAGCCACTCTTCGGAAACCAGAGCCCACGCTTCTTCCCTCTTCTCAGGGAGGAGTGAGAAAGACTAGACCTGAGAGAGTGGTGGAAATCAAGCCTAACTGTCAGAAAGCTTCATGAAATGCATGGGGGTTAACCTTAAAATGGACTGGCATTCTGTCCAGGAGGAAGTTGTACTACTCCTGGTTGCTTGATGCAATGGAAACCAGGATAAGTTCTGCCTGAATGGGACACTTGGCTTGAGTACAGACTTAAACCTACTCTTTAATACGCCTTTTGAGTTAGCATATCACAATAACAAACACATCAACAGAACAACAAAAGTCAAAGTACACCAATTACAGCTTTTAAAAAACAACCAATCACTGTCCAGGATCATGCTCCATAAAAAGTTGAATAACACTCACCTAATTCCCTCAAAAAGACTCAAAATATCCTCAGCTGCCAAAATACAGTAATTAACATTGCAAGAGACCTATATCATGAGATATATACTATTTACATGCAAAAAAAGAAATTCTGTGAGAAATTTAACTTACTTCAGTAAATTATCAAGTGCAACCCTGAAATTGGAGAGCACCTGGAACAAAAGAAATTCATTTTAAGTGTACACATAATACTAAGAGCTGTTGTTTGGTGGGTGGAATGGGTAAGGATATGAGGCTTCCAGAAAAATAGGGGGGAGGGGGTCCAACAGTTGTGTATGTAACCCCTAACACCCTAATATCAGTATGCATTTTCTCTATACTGTTCTCATGAGTCTCTGGCTCGGGGGATTGGGAGACCACCCTCTGTGTATTTTTTTTTGACATTAAATAAATTATCTTATGTTATCTTCCCAAGATGTCAACAGGGAGAACTTGTTTAACAATCAAGAGCTTCTTTCATTTGTGATCCTTTCCTCCATTCTTGTAACCCTAATGTGTGATTTAAGGGGAGATGTTATAAGGAGAAATGAATTGTTGATCACTCCTTGGGGTCAATGGTTAAGTTAAGGGAGAAATTTCCATGTTACTTTTTGTCTGAGATAACATTGCAGCTTTAATACCATAACAATATAAATGGGAAATGAAAAGTTTTCATACAGACACTAAAAATTTCATTCAGTTTTGGGCAGAGAATTCTAAAAGGACAGATACGTAGCTAGCTGGAATAAGTTGCCTTGTAATGAAAGCAATTTGCAGTAATTGCACTTTACATCAGTTCTATTTTTAGATAGTTCTGTTAAATTCTGAATTTGCAATTCCATGTTAATCCTTTCAGTCAGAAAACAACTGTCAGACTTAAACAGAGTTTGTATATACCATTTCTCTTAGCCTCTTTTATTTTGTTTGTTGACATTTAGTAAATAAACCCCTTTGGGCAGCTGGTATGTCAGCTGATAATGTCCGTGGCTGAGAGACTGTCCGAAAAATGAATACTTGGCCAAGAAGCGAAACTTTATTTGCCAATAAACTCAGCCTTGTAAAGAAGAGCAGATTCTTACCTAAACAGGATCTCTTAAACCTGTATTTCAAAGGTATAATTCCTGCAGTAACGTACGGCATATCCATATGGGGAGGTACTAACCGACAAGACAAACTCGATTCACTGGAAAGATTACGCTGCAGGGCAGCAAGAGTCATTTTCAATTTCGCCAAAGATATACAGTCAGCAGAAGTCCTTACCAGGGCTAAATGGGACTCTCTAAGAACTTTTTAGAAACAATCTGTCCTGAAACTAACTTATAAGATGTACCACAATGATTTACCATCCTGTATGACAGCACATATTCTGAAATTGCAAACCTCATATAATATAAGGAACAGTCTTAAGTTGGAAATCTCACCTTTCAAATTGAATGCCAAAAAGCATTCCATATCTTATAGAGGTTCAGTTTTGTGGAATTACCTGCCAATTGAGTGCCGTAACATGCATAGTGCCAAAAGTTTCTTCAGGATAATTAAGAAGCTTCCTTTGGTCAGGGACATTGACTTCTCTAATTTATTCTGTAAAAGATAGCTCCTCCCAAAAGGAAGTATTTTTAGGTCTATAATTTTATTAGTTAGGTAATACTATCAATTATTTAAATAAACATTATCTTATCTTTATACGTAAGTCTTATTTTATACTATATTACAACTATTGTTTATGTATCTTTTTATTTTATACACGACCCCACAAGCTGCACTGCTTCAATACTTATCATTTCTAAATAAAGGTTTTACTTACTTACTTACTATCAGCCGACATACCAGCAAGCCAGAATGGGGTTTTTTTATTTTATAACCCTTCCATTAATTTTCACATCGCAGTTAGACTGCATGCAAACACAGTAAAAAAGCCAGTGGTGATATGATGGCGAATGCACATGATTGACACAAGCAAGCAAAAAAAAATAGTTTGGTTTCCTTCCATGTAAATAGGAGAATGGAAAAGTTGAAACTCTTGTGTTGACTATGTTTCTTTTTCATGGAAAAAAATCGGAGGGCAAATATCGACACGATTGCAGAAGATTATGAGAATTCGAAAAATATCTATTATCTCAGATGTCTTGATGTGACAGTTAATTATTATGCAAAAGCCGACAAATAAAATACGCAGCCATCAATTCTGTTAGGAGAATTAATTTTAAGATCTGTGAAGTAAAACTGATCAATTACTAAGGGAGATCACTCTTAAGTAGCTTTTTCTTTCAGTTATTTTATCAATTTCAAAACAGATATCAAAGACAAATTATTTTGGCTGATCATCCACATTCTGAAACTTGCTGTCTGAATCGACAATGGCTTTTTGGGTACCGCTTTTTGTGCAATCCAAGACATATTTTGTTTCATGAATTAATGGTAAGCAAAGACCTGTTACTCCTGGTAAAAAGTTCGAATGATCTTATCCATATCAAAACTCTGTGAGAATTCAAGAGTACAAAAGGAACGACAAAAAAAAAAATGATTTGTTAAAAAAAGCAAGACTTGAGCGCTGGATATAGTAGCAGTCAGTTATATTTTCTAGCCTTAACCAACCTGCAGCATGCGAAATATATATGAATCGACATGAAAAACAGGTGGTGCATATTCACAGAGAAAAACTATAGTTCGTTTTCCCTTCGTAACACATTAGTCTGTCATCCTTTTAATTTTTTTAATCTGGAAACTGCTGCTGCAATTGATGTCTGAACGAAGCAATACCGCAACTAAATAAAAAAATTTTTTCCCATCCTAGCAATATGATCATAGACATCTCTTACCAAGAGAATAAGACATAAGTTTATTAGTCCTCGGTAGTTGTCGAACCCACTGGTTGATGTCAAAAGAGATTCTTCCACCTTGTGAACCCTAGAATGTGACAGAAGAACAGCTCAAAAAGCGTCCGCATGAAAGGAAGACATTTATTCGTCCCCGAGGGATTATTAACTTCGACTCGATGAACGAATAGTGGACACTTACGGCTTTCCATAATCCGGTTCTTTTACTTTAGATTTCGTCGATGCTTTCGGCTCTGTAGTGGTTTCGGCCCTTTTGGGCGTTGATCGCTTCCTCGCTGTGGAAGACGTCATCGGGATTATGAAATAACTACTTTCTTCTCCGCTTTCGGTCTCCAAACAACATCGAACGGCCTTTGAACATGCGATCAGGTGAATTCGTGATGTCAACAATCGTGCACGTGACACATGCACGAGCAACCCGACTGTGTCCCCTCTAAGGGTAGGGATGATGCGATTTTTGCTATTCTAAGAAATCACAAGTTGTGGTCGGTGAGGTTTCGCTTTTACGTATTTTTTTTTCTCATTTTTTTATTTGAATCTTTTAATTTTAACACTCTTCTGTTGATAATAAATTGTTTCCCCGATGACAAAATCAGATTAGGACGTTCCACCTCCACACAGGACTCCAGTTCCATTTTGCAACCGCTGGTCAAATAAAAGTAATATTATCCTTTGGTCGGCCATATCAGGAAGTCCAAACGAATAAGCCGTATAAATAGCAACTGTATCTTTTTTCAACCCCTAGAAATCTGAATCTGAAAACATTTCATGTTGGGTCTCGTCCCCCTCTCCTTGATCAAAGTGTTATTTAACCCCTTCGTCCCAGTCGCTTGCGACGTAATTCAAAAAGGCGACCAAAACAACAAAAAAAAGAAAAATGGTAGTCCTTGAACAGAAAAATTCACAGATTATTCCTTTCATACGGTTTTATAACACTTTCACGAGTGCGTAGAAAACGCACAAAAGAGATCAATTACAGTGGGAGCTTCCGCGCGCCTTACGTAATCTCCGCTTTACCCCGTGTATCAGCGGGCTCGTGTTCCTTCGACGAGAAGGTCTGGCAAATAGAGTATTTAAAACTGGAAAAGACTTGAGCAAATTCTTCGGAATCGCACGAGACAGAGAGTTTGTTTGGGAGCAATTTCAGAGTACCCGGCCACCACATTTACATGTGTCTGGAGGCTTTGAAGAGCGAGGAAGATCACAATAGACGCTATGTTTAGCCTTTGTTAGTTCTTGAATTGAAAGAAAAATCGCAATGTTGCTTTGGCTCAAAGAATTTACCGCTAACAAAATTTTATTGTGCAATATATTAAGTAAGTAAGTAAGTAAGTAAGTAAGTAAGTAAGTAAGTAATTTATTTATCCACATTTCACAATTGAGTATAACTCGTTTTAACGTGAACGTGCCAGGTTAAAATAATATATATAACAAGCTAGACAATGATGATAATAATAGTAATAAAAAGGAACTATAAAATCATATGGGAATCATGATGCATATTTAGGAAATAAAAAGGATTCAATAATACTAAGAGGGAACAAGCTAGGGATAAAATAAACTATGTACAAAAGTTGCATTCACACTCCACTTAACTTTCGCAAAGATCAATTATCCTAGGGTATTCCTGCATTCAGGTTAGATTTCTTGCATTCGGAGTGTAGTGTAGTTTTAAATAGTAATTTAAGTTTCTTGTACCAAAATTTGATCTTATAAAAAAACTGCATGGCCGAGTAACATGGGAAAACGCATCACGCAAAGGGCCGGGGGAAGGGAAGATCAGGAGCAACCCTAGCTACGCTCCCGCCGCGCAGGCGTGAAACTTTTAGATGGTAGAAACTCAGCCGGTGTTCCTCGCAGTGATAAACTTTAAAATGTTACAAGATATTTTGTGAGTGGTTTTTCGGATGTTTTGTGACAAAAGGGCTCCATCTAGTCTATCTTGATGATTACTTCCTCTTTGTAAGCAGATTTGATATTTTTAGCTTCTCTTTTTGCACCAGTATCGGTTTTTGAAAAAATTTTTTTTCAGCTTTGGAGACTCAATTACCAATCTTGTTTGGGCAATGAATTCACGTTTACTTATCGAAGAGAGGAGTTCCAAGAGGACGTAGGGAATACGTTGAACATCCGCAATAAAGTACCATGTCGCTACGGATGACTGTAAACAAGTCGCTCGGTGAAAGTGCGTTTTTTGACGTACGAAAGTATCATTAGAATGTGCACGGATTTGCCATCCAGGTTGAAAAACATTGAAACATCCCGTTGAATTACCTTTTAAAAAACCTTTTATAATCCAGCGAAACAAGGAATCAAGGTGACTCAATTCCTTGCCAGAGATTCCTACAAGTCTTTTCACATTACTCACCAACAACAAAAGTGCCAGGTTTAAGAATCCCTTGAAACTGTCAAAACCACTTGACGCGGTAATCAAAGACTCCGAAGAAAAGTGAACTCTGTAATGCGATGGTATATCCATAATCACGGGAGGCGCTAAAGAAATTTCAATCAAAATGGACAAGAACAAACCTCGCTTTGAAAGTTGTATTCGCTCTTTTAGTAGGACACCGCTGAGTCAAAGGCGCAAAACTCATGGCTGTATTTTTTTTTTAAACTTGTTTTCACGCAGAGAGTAAGACACGAACAACAATCTCGTTTTGATTTGATCAGTGTATTGTGAAGTCATTAATAGAGCCTCTGACGACATCATTAGCGCGCGGCAAAAACTTTACAAACATGGATCGGTAGGTGCGGTTTTGTTAAACAGCAGGCTACTGTAACCAAGGAATTATAATCTCTTGCTGTAAATTAATAGCAACCTGAGATTTTGATTTTACCGAAGCAGCTGGTGCTCACATGGTTTCAGATTACTTAAAAATTTAGTATGCTAACCTTTACAGAAATGGTAAAAGTGTGCGCGCGCTAGTCGTGTGTGAAATTTTGCACAGGGAGGATGCGAAACGTGGAACTAAGAATTAAAGTGTTCTGTTCCATGAGTGATCAGGACTC